CATTCTTAAGATCGTAAATTGGTTTTTGGTGGTGTATTACGAATTTGAAATAGTAGGCAGCGGCAAATAAGTTTTTTATAAGAAAAATGTTCATTATTGAAGTGAAAAGTGTCAAAGAAGGAGGAATAAGGTGTAAAGGTGACCTAGTGAATAGATGCTTGTGTTTTTAAATAGTTTATTTTGTGAAAAAGAAGGCTGAAAAGTTGCCCTTTTCTGAACTTTGAAGATCCGTAACTTTGTAAATAAGGGAGAGCGCCGCTTTTTTCTTTCGGATTCGTAATCTACGCATCAAAATACGTAAGTACACTTAAAAATTTTTTCACTTCCAAAATTGATTTTAATCACTAGGGCATCACTAATGACAATAACGATGACTATTAGTTCCTGAATAATACAGATATTTCCATAGACAGTTCTTACTATCAGGAATATAAAATCGTGCCTGTCACTATTCCAAAAACAAAAACTTTTCCGAATCACCAGAAATGCAATACTCTTTTCGACTCGCCAACCACGTTTTTTTCTTCTCCTGAACTCCTCCAACTTGGTTGCTGAAACGAGCGTCGAGAAGAGTACCTATTGCATTTCTGGTGACTGGGAAAAGTACTTGTTTTTGGATTCATTTTACTCCATAGGTTTCAGTTTTACCTTTTATCTATCAGACATTTTATCAGATATTGCTTTCTTTTTCTGTATTATACTTTATTATTTAACTTGATTATTGAATATTAATTTGATTTCAGTCGGCCTGATGCGCTGATGCGGCTAACGGACATTTCTATTAGTTACTAGAAGTTTCAGAAATCCAGCAGAATATATTATGTATATATTCAACTAGCTCATCAGAAAAACTTACCTCCAGTTTGACTGATCTTCGATGATATCTATCATTAATATATAAACACGCACATACCTTAATTTACAATTAATGTTCCTAGACAACACTGTTTCAGACGATTATATATTGTGTGGACACATATTCCACGTATAATTTGAACGAAATTCAACTCCAATACTTTTTCCTGGATTTCGGACTTTCAAACTTTTGCCGCATTTTTATATCATTTATAATATTGGCATATTAAGATTGAAACTGCTGAAGATTCATTTTGAAATCGATAAATTCAATTAAAAATGGCGAGTGTTGACATGTAGAGTGTTCCTGAAGATGAATTCAGCCATCTCAGGTATTTAAACAATATTTTAGCTAATATCTACTGAAAAACAGAAGAGATCGAATCAGCGGCAGCTATTTCAGGAACACTCTCCTACAGATGACAAACCATTTGCACAATTTAATAACTATTGACGCGTCTACAGCTATTCAACAACTGTATACGTGTTATGAATAGCTTCTTGTGTGATTCCTTCGAATTTACTCTAAAGTTCGGTGTCAGTGATATTTCACAGCCGACAGAAAAACCGTGCAAGCGGTTTATGATTAAAATTTAGTTAGTAAGAGACATTTACAGTGGCCTAACCGAAACCATCCAGCTTTTTTACCCAGCATTTAGTGAGATGAACCATAATTTTTCGTTATTATTACACAACACTAATTTTAAGAAGTGAGCGACTATGAGGTCCAGTCCAAAGTTATGATTGCTATCGTACAAAGTGAACATGTGCCGAAAACTGATTTATGCAAACACATCTCACAGCGTCCTGTGTTTTTGGGGTTTTGTGGCGTTGTGGCCCTAAATACGGTCACATGTCACCGTGCACTGTGCGAGGAATGATCCGAAGAATCGGCTGTAGGCGTCGGCCGTGGCAGTCATGCTTCAGACGCCCTGTATAGTCGACCGTCGCCCGCCGAGGTTATTGTCGACTGTCGAGTCTCTCGTTAGGCCGCCGTGGTTGAAACTGGAGACGGCTTTAACCGTCCTGGTCCCTGGACAGAAAAGAATATCATTTTAATTTGGTTTCCTTGCATAAATATGAATATAGGTACGATAAGTTTTGGATATACCGCACACACCGATTTTGTTTAAAACGGTTGGGTGTACTTACTATAGAAAAACACAAGTATTCATCCACCATATCACATTCACATCTTATTTCACCTTTTTTGACACTTTTCAGTTCAGTAATCAACATTTAACAAATAATTCGTTTTTTAGTGACATCACTCCATTTTGAGGTTATATACTAGTGACATTTCGGAAAAAAGCGGTTGGTAACTGAAAAGCAATAAACTGAAAAGTGTCAAAAAAGGTGAAACACGATGTGAAGGTGATGTGGTGAATAAATACTTGAATACTTGTGTTTTTCTATAGTTTGTATTGTGCAAAAAGAAAGCTGAAAAGTTCTAATTTTCGGAACTGTTACTCTGGAAATGAGGAAAAGCGCCGATTTTTTCTTTCCGATTCTACCTGTCAAAATACGTAAGTCCATCCAAAGTTTCTGTTCAAGATTGAAAGTTGCAAGGTAAAACTGATACAATTAGTTGCTGAGTTGTTAGGTCAGTCAAAAGGTAACAGCAGTAGATACAATTTGGACAGAAAATAAAATAATGAAACACAATATAGTAGAAGATGTTTGTTTGAAGGTGATTGACAATGTTTCATGATGAATTTCAGTAGTTCGGACTTCCATTCCATACCAGTTTATATAAATAGAAGAAGACTTTTCATAGTAAGCCAGATTGTCAACATAATACTTCTGAAGACTGTAGTAAGCCTTTTCCATAAGTTAGTTGATTCTGCATAATGACGGGTAGTTTTTACTATTTTCAAAAGGCCAGTTAAATGGTTATGAATATTTTTCCTTTCAACTGGAGTTTGTTAAAGACGTTGTAGGTTTAGGAACAGACATATTCTTATTTTGACATGTGTTACACACTCTTTAATTAGTTGTTGTTCATTTGGACTTATTTATTGGGCATATCGTTTCTGAAATGAATATAGAGAGCAAAGTTAATATTTCATGTTTTATAAAAATTGGTTTGCAGTAAGCCCTGGGCTTTGAAAATGTACTGGACTGCTGTTTTCTGAGACACCGATATTGAATTCATCGGCTGGTTCTTTCAAAGCCCCCAACAAGCAATACCATATCATTACTTTTAAACACATATGCGTTGGGTTCCATTTGGAGTTGTGAATTCAATTTGCCCTCCTTCAATGGTAGCAATACTGTTTTTTCTAGGACTAACTTCTTTTGCAGTTCAACTTTGAATTAGGTTTAGTGTGATTTTTATGAATTCTTAGTTAACTCTATCATAACTTGAGAACGGTCTAACAAACCGAAACCGGTCGTAACAAATAATAAACTCAGTTGAAATAAGACAAAAGTATTTAGTTTATCCTATACTAGTACTAAGTTGCTGTATTGCAGCTGTTCCAATGTTTTGACAAACAGAATCAACGAACTTAGGCGTGCGCAGCGTTATAGAACAGTGCTTTAAAAAAATTGTTCTACAGCGCCATCTAGTGGCGAGTTACAGAAAAATTGATAGCGTAAAAACCTTCTCTATAAAAAATTACATATACACGTCAAGTTTCATCACGATCGCTTGAGCGATGTAGAAGTTTATCACTTACCAACCAACCAACCAACAAACATCCATTTTTATATAGTAGACTAGTACTATGTTGCTGTATCGCTGCTATTTCAATGTTTTGACAGAATCAGAATCAACGAACTTAGGCGTGCGCAGCGTTATAGAACAGTGCTTTCAAAAAAAATGTTCTACAGCGCCATCTAATGGCGAGTTACAGAAAAATTGATAGCCTAAAAACCTTCTCTATGAAAAATTACTCATACAAGTCAAGTTTCATCACGATCGGTTGAGCGACCAACCAACCAACCAACCAACCAACAAACATCCATTTTTATATATTAGATTCAATTCCATCATGCTTGACACTACTAGTGTTGACTAGGTTATCGAAATAACAATGAGCCGTGAGGCCAGGATCATGTAACTTTGTTGTTAGGATATTGGCTTAGTAGGGGCGGTAATACTCTCTTTTAGAGACAACCTTTTTCTAGTCTCTAGACTAGTCTAGACTGTTTGAAGTCTAGCCTGACCAGATGTAGTAGTGACATATAATTTCCAGAGCGGCCTTAGTAGTGGTACGGATAAAAAGTGATAATATGCATAATGAATGAGCTCATGCGGGATTAATGTTGTATTATACTCAGAACGAATGGAATTCTGCATACTGAACCTATTGATGAATCTCTATTTTCACACGAAATCAATTTCCAAAGTAATTTCGTTTGAAATGCATTTTCTCTCGCAAATCATTCCGTTTCAATATACTGTCATAACAGTAATATGGGATCAATTCAAAATTCATCGATTGCTTGCCTAATTCCTATTCAATATATTTTTACCAACTCCCTCGTTCATGTATAGTTGATTAAATGGATAACAGGAAATTCTGCTTCCATTCTTCGTCCTATTTTTAAATCGATTGAACGTGCTTTTCTAAGGGAATTGATAAATTGAGCGTCAGAGCCAACGAAATGAAAGGCTTTTAAAAATCGGAAATAAAGCAGCTGGAAAATAAATGCATTATGCTCAAGTAAATATTGATGTAACATGTGCAAACAGATAATTCTGTTTTCCTCTATTAACCACTCAATGCTTGGATTGCAATAAAAATATATGTAAAGTACTAACTAAATCATGGCTTGATTGGGAAATTGATAGATCGGAGGGTTTTTTCATCATCTAAGACTATATATATATACACAATATAGGATTTTGTACGAGACATGAATGAAATCAGGCTCCTTAAATGTTCATACGTCGTCATCGAAAAAACATCAAGGAATCTCTGTTATACAACTCGTTACATGTGAGTGCTGAAAGTCAGCAGACAAAATAGCGGATACACCCCATTACTTCAAAAAAGGTAGAAATAAGTCAAGAGCCTATAATTAAATTGGGAAAACATTGTCAGAGAGTAAACACTAAGAGTACCAACTGAATGAGCAGTCGAAAAAATTGATGAAAATAAAAATTTTGAGAGAAACTGCATCTCTGAAAAGATGAGATGGCCCTTATGAGGTGATGGATGGAAAATTAATAGAAACTCTGTGAGAAGGAGAAGTTGGGAACGGCTGTCAAAGGGGATCCAACAGTGGAGAAATGTATAACAGTTCGCTTGAGAATTAATTCTTCAACTATGTTTCCGTCACTTATAATCAAAGTAAATGTTATGTTATCAACTCCCTACGGGAATCGAGATTTGAGAAACTTGCCTCGTGACAAATTTTGTCACTAGAATTTTTAGTTTGTAGGATGGCATCAAACATTATCAACATCCAGTGGAAAGCAGTAGTTGAGGCCGGCCGACAAAAACTATCAAATAGTGAAAAATGAGAAATGAATAGATGAATCGGTAATTCCTGTTTTTGTGGGTTTATAATCTTCTATCTGACAAATAAAGGAAGCCAAATCGATAGATAATCTGCGGAAGCTGAACTGAAAAGTTCTCTCGAAAAGTTAACAATGTGTAATTCAAACCACGGAAGAGTGCAATTATTCAGTAACCATATTGTATTCTTTATTTATTTGACAAACGTTTGGGGCATTCGTTTTAAGTGAATTTATTGGGTTTGCAGAACGGAAAAAGATAGTTTCCAGGTACGGTAGTTATTTAAAGAAAGATATATAAAAATTTCATTAAATTCATTAATTTTTTCAATTTGTGGAGCAAATTCATAAACAGAATTTACTGACTAATTAGATTTTTCAGTGCATTAACTTTTCTAGGGGAACTTTTCAGTTCACTTTTTATTACTCTTCAGCAGATTCTTTGGTGATATGGCATTGTTAATTTTTTCCAGACACGGTAAGAAACGTTTATTCTTCTACAAAAAGCAATTTGGTAATATATTTAGCAACTCGATTCTGAGAAACATGGATAATATTTCACATTCTATCTCCTCTTGATGAATAACTTTTGGCATATTCTCCAGAGATAAGTGATTTGAACTGATTCACCAGTAACAATATTCATTGAACTTATGGGTGAAATTTCAGAGCAGATTCTGAGGCTACACCAGTTCAGTAGTCCTTCTGGAAAATTTTCCGTTGACATTTTTGATAAATGCCATCTAGGAAAGATTTTCCCTCAGGTGCTATTTTGGTGAAAATTCAAACTTTCTGAGATTCATCTCTAAAGACCGATTATATTCTCATAGTCCTCCAACTTACATTCCGTAAAGACATGTAAATAATCTGTCCATAATGAAGTAGCACCTAGACAAAAATGAATAAATATCCAGGAAAAAAGCTGGCATGAAATTTATACGGCTGAAAACCTAGAATTATCAATAGCTATAGTTGTCAGAAGGATAATATCGGCAATAGAAAGCAGAACAAGTCGAAAAAGGAAATTTCAAATACAGTCTTCAGATTACCAGTCATTTAGTTAAACTTACGAATGATAGAAATAATATGTATCGAAAACTTAAAACTCAATCAACACCAGAAAATAAAACAAACAAAGTAGATTTGAATGAAATCACAGATACGGCAAAAAAAAGTACCATTGAAAACAACAATCTTCAAAATCGGTAATTTTCTAATGGGACGCCCATGGTTACGAGCTATAAATTACTTATTCTATACACTTCAGTTCCAGGAAAGTATCCAGCTCATTACTAACGTATGCCCTGCTAAAGTGTCACCTTGTGTTTTGTGAAGAAGCTCGCAATATACTTGTTGAACATCTTGCTGCAGGATATACAAATCTCAACGTTGTGGTAACACGACAAAAAATATACAGGGCGTTCCAACGAGAACTTGACCCCCCTGAAAGTCAAAAACGGACGTGTAATCGAAAATTTAAAAAAAACACGTCAATTTTTTTTCTAGGAGTCCGGAGTCAGCAATCGGCATTCCCGAACAATTCTCTGTCGCAGGTCTTCTAGATTTGTAGGCTTAATAGAGTATACTTTCGACTTCAGGTGTTCTCACAGAAAGAAGTGCATCGGTGTGAGATCAGGTGATCCAGCTGGTAACTCCACTGGACCCCTTCTGCCGGTCCAACGCATTGGAAAACGTTCGTCCAAAAACTTTCTCAACCGAACATCAAAATTTGGGGGTACACCATCCTGCTGAAATGTTTTTTCATTCTCTACTAAATTGTCATCATTTCCTGAAGTTTGTGTAATCATAGGATCTACACAGTCGTGTGATAGATTTATGTATATGTCTCCATTGAGATTACCTTCAATGAAGAATGATTCAACAATATGATTACCAAGAATGCCGGCCTAGACAATTTTTGTAGAGTTTGTGAATGTGTTTCCATCACCAAATGAGAATTCACTTCGCTCCAGTAATGACAATTATGTTTATTCACTTCACCATCCAACATGAAAGAGCTTTCGTCTGAACAATGTATTGTATAATAGGTTTGGGTTATTGGTCAATTTCTCGCCGAACACCTCACAAAACTGAAGTCGACGATCAGGATCATCTTCGTTTAATTCCTGAACTAGCCTTATTTTGAAAGGATGGAATTTGTAGTCTTTCAAAATCCGAAAAACACTAGTAGCTGATACACCAGACGCTCTAGCTACTTGTCTGATAGATTGTCGATTATTCATTTGTATATGTCCTAAAACTGCAACTTCAACTCCGCCATTTCTGACAGCACGGGATACTTCGTGTTTTCTGTTGTAAGCAGAACCTGAAGTTCGAAACTTATCCATTAACTGTCTAACGTATTGATGGCTCACGTTGTGGTCCGGATGATTCGTATTATAAATTCTTGCAGCAGTTTTAGCACATTATTTATTTCGATAATAAGTTGTAGCAATTTATATTCTTTCTTCAGTAGAATAAATCATGTTGGAATGCTGTGAACAAGGATGACTGAATAAAAATTCGTGAAGAAATGACAGTGGCCAACTATCTAATTTTTGTTCTGTGACAACTAGATTCAACAAAAACTACCAGTGCAGAAAAAACTAACAGTGTCGTCCATTTCAAAAGATTCAAAGAGATCATGGTTTCGTAATTCTCTGCAAGGTGTATTCAATGAAATTTTTGTTATCAACGTAGGACAATCGACACGTTTATTGAATAATTTGTACAGCATTATTGTATCAGACATTTTTCTTCTGTTTTACTGTCAGTTTTACGGGCCAATAGTTTGACGAATTTATTTTGAACACTTTCTTCGACGTTCCAAGCTATCAAGGTTGCACGTGATGTTCGCGTCTCCAACAGGCGGATGGCTCTTTTCTGGATGGAATCCAACAGGCTCCATACTTGACAACAATACTCCAAAGAATGCCTGATCTCAGCTTTATAAAGCACCAAAAGTTGCTGAGGTTTGTACAGTTTTCTAGCTCGGAACAGTGTTCTAAGCTTTTGAGAAGCAGCCCTTGCAATTCCAGCGATATGATTGTGCCAAGACATATAGTGTGTCCATGTTAACCCCCACCCAACTTATCGAAGCAGGAAGCGGAATTATCTGACCTTACATTATTATATCCGGTTCGGAGACATTTATTTTTTTGGAGAAAACCCGATGCCTGAGTTTTTGTGGCATTGAGTTGAACCTGGTTACTTTCACTCCAATTCGAATTCACCTCTAGATCCTCATTAAGATTTGCAACCTACTACTGCCGGTGAAGATGTGCATCCGCTGCCGATGTCTTGGAATCCAAATTGAATGACGAGACAAGTGTGCTGTCGTCAGCAAAACAATATATTGGATTCTTGGTTTTTTCCAATAAGTCGTTGATATACAATAAAAAGAGGGTTGGAGATAATATGGATCCCTGGGGAACACCAGCGTTGTGTCGATATGGAGTGGGATTCTTTCTCACAGTTTATAGTTTATATCATTATGCGAATGATGACTAATTAAAAAGTAGATGAAATCTTCAAAGCAGTATATTTCAAGTAGATCATAATGAGGAAAAAGTTTTTGGAAATGTGTAACATTGAGAAAAACTATTTGTCAGCAGGCTGAATTTTGAAACTATTTATTGAAAAATGTTTTGGTGCTTACCCGGAAGAGACCGTTGTGACCAAGGCCGTTGTCACAGCAGATTGGGGACCCGAGGAACCAGTCTGTTGTTGAGACAACGATCGGTATAACGGTGAGTTGACGAAACGTGGGTAACTGTCCCGATGCATCAGGGTATATATTTGAAGCTGTGCCTCGTCGAACGTATGTGGAGCCGGTTCCACCATATTACGATTCACAATATCACGTACAGTTGAATCAAGTGATACCTGTAATGAAAATAATGTCGTTCAAAGGACAGCCTAGAATCTAGCATACATAAAAGATCAAAAGGTAAGGGTATGGACAAAGCACTCCAATAGGCACACCGTGAACACGTATTTCAAACTTTTTAGCTCTTATTACTGTGGTGTATTCAGGAAAGAGGATCCCGATATCGGTCGTATGATGGTTTTTGTAAAACTTCTACAGGTAGACCAAAATAATTCTAAACAATTACGTTTATAATGAGATGATCTCAGAAAAGATTCATGAATGTGTAAATGATAAATGAGTCTCTTTATTTCTTATCAATATTTTTACTGATGAATTGAGAAAGTTAGAAAGACATTTTGTTTCCTTATTATTAGAAACAGAAAATGAACAAATGGATTGGATTATTAACATGCTTCATTTGGAAATGAAGCATGTTAGTAATTCAAAATAACGTTTTCTTAAATACATATTTGAGACATCATTTTGAGACTACAAGAAAGACCAATTATTTCGATTCTTCATGCAACGAATGAAAACTTATGTATATAAATCCGGCGTTTAAAAGAAGGTTCTTTATAAGTTTTCTTTGTCCGGCTTAACCGCCTTCGAATTATGGAATTTTTTCCTGAAGTTATTTTTCCTTAAAATAATCCATTTGAATATTAGTATGGTATCAAGAAACATTTTGTATATGCGACATAGATCAAGAACTCAACTGAACAACCTTGCGACATATTTCAATCGAGAAGAATCGCTTTTAGTATTTCTTCAGCTTTTCATATGATTTTTTGATAATATTTCATAAATAGGCGAAATGGGTTGTATAAACTCTGATAGAAAAATATTGGAATGACTAAAAATATCCATTCAAAATGAAATTATTTCGAATAATTACCTCTTTTGGAGAAAGTATTGAAATATAATCTTCGTAAATAATTCTTGCTTTCTCTTCAATCACTTCAGGATTAGTTTCTCGTTTCAGTTCTTCGCAAGCTAACCAAAATAATATATTTTCTTCCGAGTATTCTCCTCTTAGGAAATCCCTAAAGATTTCTCGTCCAGCTGAAAAAAAAATCTGCATCAATAACAGCTCATTCACTTCTATGGGAACAGAGAAAAATAAATTCCGGTATCTTATCATTGAAGTAATAAATTTGAAAATGTCCTCTTTTCAGAAACATTAACTGCAAAACAAAATATAGCTAAATATATTAGTTACTTGGAACTGATACTTTTGAACAGAACATCAACAACGTTTACTGCCTAAGAAGATACAAGAATTCCCTACTTGAATTTGAATTTGTTTCTTTTTAACGAAGAAAAAAATCTTATGAGTGAAGAATCTCACAGGGACCAAAGTTAGGATTTTGCTCACGATCTGTCAGTTAAACAACGAGAAGATTTCAATATATTGTAAAAAACATCTTGACCAGCATAAAGAAAATCCGAACACATACATTAAAGCTAATAGACTGATGGTCTCATTGCAACAGTCCCCGAGTGATCTAATTGAACTAGAAGAGTACAAAGTGAATATATTTTCGAATACAAACAAGGTTCCCACAATCCCAATTCAACAACTCATTCGAACTTCTCAGTCTCCTCCAGAAGAGCGTCGTTTGCTAGTGATATCAAAGAATCTTGCGTCTCCTAGAGTCCACACCTATGTCAACAGGAGCAACTAAGAAAATTTATTCCAAACCTGCTGAAAAACCCATAGGAATCCGTACCCTGATGATAAGTACCTGATTATTTGTATAGATAATGTATTTTTTAAGTTTTCTGTTTTCTGTTTGAATATTCATAGTGTATACTTCACATATTCATACGGATAAAATTATTATTCATGTACTTGCCACTGAATTTGACTTTCATATTCCTAAGTTTTGTGCCGAAAAACAACAGGAATAAGCATTTATACTCCTTAAACATTAATTTATGAACAAAAACTGGAAGAAATGAATGGTTTTCACGTATCACTGAAAATTTTCAAGAGAAATTTGGAGTTAATGTATGTCTTCGAATTCTAGATACTAATAATATCGTTCTTTACTATTTTAAGATATCTCTGACCCTACTCTGATAATGTCCTATACCGAAATCTGCCCCACTGGTAGATCATAGAACTGACATACGCGGAGTTGCTAAAAACCCCATAAAGAGTTTAACTCCTCATCAAATGGGTACTTAAATCGTTCGAATTACCACAAGTGTCGTAAAATTGATGTATAAAATGAATAAATATTCTAGCATGTTATTCGTAGAGTTTGATGATATCACACTAAAAAATCATTGAACTAGATAAATGTATTAGTACATTAATTTCCCTTTTCCATATTCCATACATTCTATCAGACAAATAGCCATGGCACGGAGTACTTTTTTGAAACCACAAGCGAGGTAATTTTTTTTCACGACAAAACACAAGCACAACGCTCTTAGAGCGGTTCCAGTGAGAAAGTAGCGATTCACGTCGGATTTGAATCGCTGAAGATTAATCTCATTTGGAAAAACGTTCCCAGGAGTTTATTCCACATAAACGCAGTTCTCCAAATGAAAGAATTCTCAAACAGTGAAGTTCGAGATGTACTGAGTTGAACCTCAAAACGATGAGCAGCCACAGTCCGTCTCTTATTTCTGATATGTACTGCTCTTGGTGGAATCAACTGTGTCAAGTCACTTGAACATCTCCCGTGAAGGTATCTATGAGAGGGAGACAAATTTCCAACCCTTCTTCGACGTTACAAGGTTACAAGTGATGTTCGCGTCTCCAATCAAGAGGATGGCTCTTCTCTGGATGGAATCCAGTAGCTTCAGGCTATGCTTAGGGGCGGAACTCCATACATGAGAACCATACTCCAAAGATGTTCTTATCTGAGCTATATGAAGCATCAAAAGTTGTTGAGGTGTGTACAGTTTTCTTGTTCGGAAGAGTGTTCTAAGATTTTGAGAAGCAGTCTTTACAATTCAAGCGACATGCTTGTGTCAAGACATATTCGTGTCCACTTCAACCCCCAACAAACTTATCGAAGCAGAAAGCGGAATTGTCTGTCCTGAAATTATTATATCCCATCATCAATCTGTAAATGATGTCATCAAACGTGCCTTAGGTTCGGCAAATATACCTTCCATCTTAGAACCTCCAGGCACTTGCAGCGATGATGGGAAACGACCAGATGGCATGACTCTCATTCCTTGGCGGAGAGGAAAACCAGTTGTCTCTGATTTCACCTGCGTTGATACTTTGGCTCCTTGTAACATTCCTTCGACTTCTGTACCCAGCGGTGCAGCAGCTTCATCAGCTGAATTGTCAAAAACACGAAAATACAATTATTTGGGAGATAATTTAATTCTTTAGGCCCCCAAGCATTGGAGTTCATTCATGAAATCGGCATTAGGATCTCCAATGACCCAAGAGCCACCTATTTCTTGATTCAAAAAATTATCATTCTGATTCAAAGAGGAAATGCAGCTTCAATTCCTCAATCAAATACCCTGAGTGAATTATCAATGTTTCACATGAATAAAATCTATCGGCATCTACCTATGATAATACAACCAATCCTATATATCCTCATCCCCAATCGAGCATTATCTGTCACAAATCACTTTCACCGATGCCGCTATCCAATTCTTATTTTTTCACGCAACGCAACGAATATGTACAGACAGTGCAAGAACTGCAGTTGTGCAGTGTGGTGGAAGAAGATAGTAGTGGGAAACATAGTATCAACAGTTACAACAATAGATCGGTGATACATTCTTCAGTCAAAACTATTGGGTTCAATGGGTTAAAAAATCTTGGAAACACTCGTTTCATGAACAGTGTAATCCAATTTTTATCAAACACGGGATGGTTGTTGAAATACTTTAAAAATGATACATACATGGAAGATATCAATACTAGTATTTCTAGTATGAAAGGTTCTGCGTTCGCAGAAGTTATCAAGGAATTATGGTCAGGAGATACATCTGATAGAATAATTAACGCAGTCTACTTCAAAAGTCGAATTCGAAGATTTGCCCCTCGATTCATGGGTTCTGCCCATCAAGACGCCCACGAATTCCTTCGATATCTTTTAGAAGGTTTGCATGAGGACCTCAACAGAATTACTGAGAAAACTGAACCGATCTTAACGGAGATTGACGAAAAATTGAGTGACATCAGAAAAACACAAGAGTCCTGGCTAAGATATTTGAATATGAACAACTCTAAGATTGTAGACTATTTCGTGGGTTAATTAAAATCCACTATGCAGTGCACACATTGTGGACACTCATCAGTGACCTTCGATCCTTTCTGGGATTTGTCTCTTCCCATACCACAAAGAACTGGCCAATTGAGTTTGTCATATTGCTTGGATTCCTTCACAAGAGAGGAAACTCAGGATGGAGATGAAAAACCAATGTGTTCGAGGTGCAAGCAATGAAGAAAATGTACAAAGTCCTTATCAATCCATAAGTTTCCCCGTATTTTAGTAATTAATTTAAAAATATTCTCTCCAACGGAAAGATTCAGAGGCAGATTGAATATTTCCATCGACTTTTCTTCAGATGACTTAAGATATGAGCAATCATGCAGCAGACAATGTGGCTCCTTGTCGTTATAGTCTATATGCACTTTCAAATAACAGTGCACACTTACAACGGGCATTACACAGCATATTGCAGACATCCATATAGTGGCACGTGGCATGAATACAACGATTCACACGTGTTCCCAATTTCGCCAAAATCACTTGTGAGCGATGAGGCGTATGTCCTCTTTTATGAACAGGAGGGAACGAAGCAGCACCTTTGATGGGTTTTTTTTTCTTCTTTCCTTTTTTTATAATCTTAGTTCTCTGAATTGATTGTTCCAAATTTCATTATTCATTGTAATACTTAGATTAGTAAAAAATGAGTTAATTATATCCGGTTCGGAGACATTTATCTTTTTGGAGAAAACCGATACCTGGGTTTTCGTGGCATTGAATTGAACTTGGTTACTTTCACTCCAATTCTTAATCACCTTCAGATCCTCAGTAAGATATTCAATCTCCTGCTGCCGGTGAAGATGTGCATCCGCAGCCGATGTTCTGCCGTTGACATACAATAAAAAGACGGTTGGAGACAATATGGATCCTTGGGAACACCAGCGTTGATGGTAAACGTATTTTAGAGATATCCATCAACGGCCACTTGCAGGGAACGTTCTTTCAGGATGCTGGAGAGCCATACACAAAAATTATCCGACAAGCCATAGCATCGAAGTTTGGCCACACACGGTCAAAGGCTTTAGAAATATCAAGCGCATGTTTCTCGATTGCGTTATTCCAAAAATGGGTGACAAACGATGGAAGGTCGCCAGTTGATCTTCTGCGAGTTCATTGACGCACGTCTTAAGTTAAGTACGACGACGGACACTTCATCAAGACCAGACGTCTTTTTGATATTGCGCTGTTTCGAAATTCGCCTGATTAGACATTTTCGAAAATTAATTTCCAGCATTGTGGATCAAACTGATCGTCCTCTCGAAGATGATCACTTGGTGATCGAAACACTTGTCGAAGTGTTAAAATAACGGTTTGATGTTGGGGAAAAACTCCAGTAATATTTAATATACAGGGTGTTCCTTAAACACATGCTAATATTTAAGTAGGTAATTCTTAGACTCATTTTAAGAAAAAAACTTCCTATGAACGTATGTCCTAAACGCCTGAACTTTTGAGATACAGGGTGGCAAAGGTTTCAAAAATAATCAGTTTTTTAATAATAACTGAGATAATTTTGTAGACATCTTTGGCATATTTGGTACATATGTTCCATGCCTCAAGGCGCATTTTCTGATGTACA